GGGGGGGGGCCCGAGGGGGGGGGGGGGGGGGGGGGGGGGGGGGGGGGGGGGGGTCCAAAACGGTGCGCATACAGCAAATTGTAACTGGCCTCCCTCCCTCTCCTCCCCTATTACCGTTCCACCCAGCCTGGCCCTAAATTGGGCCCTAGCCCCTCACCCACTCTGGAAGCCCCCCCCCTTCCCCGACCCCGACGCCGCCCTTCCACGCTCCGACCCGTTTGAACTCCCACTACCTTCCCTGGATCATGTCGCGCCTCCTCCACGACCAAGATATCTCCGCCCGCCCCGCCCTCCGCTCCGAACTGGACACTATCGTGGAAATGTTTCGAAAGTGGGAACCCACTACGAAGGCCGCGAAGGAGTTGAAGTATCGTTTGGAGCCCATTCGGAGCAAAATCTGAGGTGTGGAGATGGGGTACGTCTTTTCCGTGTGTATATGGCTGACGGGCCGTGTAGATAGGGCTCGTTTTGGACAGCTTGATCGCTTCGGGCACGCCCCCTTCTTCTCTTTATCATGTACCTGACCCTCCACTGTAACTGTATTTTTGGATCCCTCCACTGCACATGCCTTACGACCACCCCCCTCCGCCCCAAGTGTTTTAATGCTATCGATGAGAAGTGCAACTGGGCCTCTCGTCGGTTGACCGGGCGCCGCTCTCTGCCTCGAAAACAGCGGCGCGCGGCGAACAAGAAACGCTCTCTTCACAAATAATTGGTTCACACTCGTCTCTAATTCGACAGACGGGTGGTCCAGGTGTTTGACTGAACCGATACCCACCCATGGAAGGGGGAGGTGCAAGGTTACTGCATGACCCATCGCCAACCCAACCCTCGTCTCCCGCCCCGCTTTTCGCGTGGTCAGCTGCGTGATAGGTGAGTTCAGCTGCTCCGTTGCACCCGGGGGGTTCCAGACAAAGCGCACTATCAGAAAAAGCATCCCGCTCCCCCTGCCACGCCGCCGCAACACACTTCCGCCTCCTGCCCACCGAGCACATTCAGCCTCCCGAATCCGAACTCTGCAATCGGCCGCCCAACAGCGGGTAAGCAAGATTTGACGACACCCATCGGTGCCATCGCCCAACGGGTTCCAGCGAAATAATTGGGAGGTGAGTGAGAGGGCTCATTTCCCCGGCCCCATTTCCACTCCCGACCGGTAGACCCGCCGTCCGGTCCAGCTTTGACCGCAATTCCGTTGAAAACGTAGCGGTGCGTCGTGGTCTGCTGTGAGCGTTTTTGCCCTTGGTTTGCTTTGGCGACTTTATGAGGGCTGAGAGAAATTGGGAGATATTCCAGAACCAAACATTTTCAGTCGACAGGATTTCAAATCTCCGGCACTGTTCTTGAGAGTCTTGTTTGGGTAACAGCAAGATTTCGGATTGTTTTTGGTTTTGCTACACGCCAGTCGAAGCTCCAGCTCCTCAGTGCCTCGGGATCACTCCAGCGGGAGACGGGGAGAGGACAGGAGTGACAGGGGGCCGTGCCAGCGGGCTTGCAAGTAAGTTGCGGCCTTGCCCCATGCTTTGGAACCCGTCTCCTCGAGTACTCGGTGAGTCATAAACACATGAATTCTGAGGGGCGGGACGGCTTCACTCGGGTTTGACTTTCGGGGGACTACTTTGGACTTCTCTGCACTCATGGGGAAGATTGCTCCGCGGTCCTTGAGTGCTCCATACGGTTTGGTGCCAAGAAAAGTGGAGCGCATAGGGAGCTTCGGGAGCGTTGGCTTTCTGAGCGTGCTCTCGGAGACGAAGTTCAGGCCATGAGCGACCCTGCTCTCTGGTGTTGGCGAGAGCGACTGTCAACTTCCAACAAACGGGGTATTTCAACAGGACACGAATGCGACCTTCCCGGATGAAGACATCGACGCGCTGTTGGCACACAGCCAGTTTCGCCGTCTTTTTCGTGGCCACCATCGCATATATGTCTCTCGTTCACGATTCCCCACAATGCTCATAGGGATGATCGACCCTGGAAAGACCAGTCACCGCGAGGGATCGATGCCAGGTGGAAGGAGCCGGAAGGAGCCTCCCCCACCTGGGATTTTTTGAAGCCCTGGGATCTGCGGACACCTTTTGGGAAATCCCCAAAGCAATCTCTCGTCTCCTGGGCTCCTCTTCCCCCGACCGACCCAGTTGCTCCTTTTCGCACCTGACTTCCCCCGCCTTTCACTTCTTGCTTCCCGCTTCTTGCTCCTCGGCCTCAGGAGTTGTCCAGCTCACTCACCGCTCCCACCTCTGTCTGACGCGGCGAAGGCTTTATTCGCTTTCCTGCAGCATGGGCGGGAGCATAGCTGGACACCCCTGTTCTCTTCCCCCCAAAAACCCCCACAAGTATGCCACTGCAAGCGACGTCCGGCTGTCGGAAAGAACCTCCTCCGGCCCCCTGCGAGACATGGATCCCAAAAATGGTTGCGGAATGAACCTGCAATTACCTGGTTAGGATATCATACCCCAGAAATGCAGGGTAGCTGGACAACTGACTTGTCGTCGCCGAATCGATACGGAACTCTCTCCAAGTATCCCCCCCAAGATTTGCAAACTTGTCCTAATACCCCGATTTCTTCCCGGCCGACGTTTACTGCGACATCAGGGGATCTGCGAAGGGCCAGGTCGTGTAAACCTTCTTTCTCACAGCGGCCATGGCACGCCTCCATCAGCACTACTTCCTCCGTTGCTTTCCGCCCTCGACGGCCGACATATTTGCCATTGGCGAAGTCAGCCCGTACCACGCGCGCCACGTCGGTGTCTCGCCACCGCGGTTCGCCGCCCCGTTGTCGATTCTGCAGGCGGCAGTGGGGAGGTTGGAGGCGTGCGACATCGCCGACCCACGCAGTTCGATTGCGGTGGTCTTAGACGCCGTCGAGGTGGCCGAAGCCCTTGAGGGAATGCGGTCGCATGGACCATCAGCGAGCGGACGGCGCTCCCGCGGGAGACGAGGGCCCGGTGGGCGCCAGCGCATTCTGGATGACGAAAAAAGGGCGGAGAGAGGTGATAATACAGGGAGGTGAGGGATCGATGCGGGGGTTCGCTCCCAAGGTGTGATGCAGAGGTGGCCGCGCGCGCTCGCAAACGAGAACGGCGATGCCAGAGACGGAGGAAAAAGAGATCCATTTGGTTGGGAGGGGCGGAGGGGAGAAGAATCAAAAAAAGGCTCGCGCGGCGATCGCTCTGGTTCCCCTCTTCCTCCCATACCAATCCTCTGTTTTCATGGACACCACCCAATAATGGTTCAGGGCCCGCTTGAACCTCAAAAAAACGGTGCGTGAGAGATGGAGCGCCGACGTCGCTCGCGACGAATACTTTAGAAAATTGGCATCATTATTTCAGTTGCCAAACTCGACTTGCACGTCATCCTGTGCTATCTCTCCCTTCCTTCCTAAAAGAAAGGAGAAAGAAGGGATGATGAGAAGGGATAGTGAGGAAAAAAAAAGGAGGGAAGAGGGAAGGAAATGGCACGCAAAGCACACACTTTCTCTGTGTGATAGGTGAGTTTAGCCGCTCTGTTTCCTCCCCCACCCCCAAAAAGGGGTTTCAGACAAATACAGCCCCACGACAAAAAGTTCCCCGCTCCCCCCCACCACGCTGCGGCAACACACAACCCATCGACGACATCCATCCTCCGAGTCTGAAATCGGCCGTCTGCCTGCGGGGTCTGGCAAAATTGGAGGGCAGGGGAGATGCGTGAGACGGCTCATTTCCCGGCCCCGATCCCCACTCCCCACCGGCGAGCCCGCCATCCGGTCGAGATTTAACCGCGATTACGTTGTAAAGTTCTGTGGGTGTTTTGGTGCTGAGAGAAATTTAGCAGACAGCAATAATTTAAAAGATATAATTAATGACATGTCATGGGAGTGGAAGGGTTCCATAGTGTAGCGGTTAGCACTCCAGACTCTGAATCTGGCGACCCGAGTTCAAATCTCGGTGGGACCTTCATTGACACTCGGGTCAAGCGCAGAGATTTTTCTTACACTGATTTTGCTTTCAGAGTTGAAGTGCGCGCAGCAAGAACGAGTTCTATCGCCTCGGTGCCTCGGGTCTCTTCAGCAACAGGCATGCGGCAAGGGCTAAGAGGGCCCGTGAGGACCCATTTCCTCGTTGAGGGCGAGTCATTTTGAGGGGTCACGGCCTACAGCTTCACTCGGCTTTCGGGTGACTTCTTTCGGTGCCAGATGGAATACTTTGGACAACTCAGCACTCAGAGAAGATTGCTCCGCGGGCCTTTCGGCGCTCCGTCCGGTTTGATGCCAAGATAAGCGGAGCGGATCCGAAATTCAGGCCATGCGCGACCTTGCTCGATGTTGGCGTCAACAGTCTGCCAGAAAGCGAGAAGCGCGTGGTATTTCAACGGGACGCGTAAAACGATGGCCGTGTGCGTTGATGAAATGCGAAGCTGCGTGGCCGCTGTGTTTCTCTCTCCCTCTCAAATCCCCACAGGGCTCGTAGAGCCGGTCGCCCCTGGAAGATGTTGCTGCCGCGACGATCGTGCCGGTTGGAAGGAATCAACCCTAGAAATAGCAGCTGCGGCCGCGATGGATGATGCCAGTTGGAAGGAGCCGCCCGCGCCCACCGCCCGGATTTTTTCACAGCTCTTGAAGCGGCGACACGGATGTTTTGATGCCAGGCGGTCCACGAGTCATCACCCCACGGCACTTAATTCTGACGGACCTCGCTCCCCTCTGCCCCCTGCCTCTCACTTCTTGCCTCCCGCTTCGTGGTTCTCGGCCTCAGGAGTCGTCCGGCTGGTGCACCACTCCCGCTAGTCCAGTCAGCAAGAAGCCCCGCCGGCCCCCAGCGAGACATAGATCCCAAAAATGGCCAGAACAAATTGCGGAATGACCCCGCAGTGCATGACTGGTGGGCATATCATACCCCGAATCTTGGACCAGTCTTCAAATCTGCGTGGGGATCCTCGGAGAAAATGCGGTGTCGATTCGGCGTTAAGTTAGTCGTTCAGCTACCCTGCATTTCTGGTACAGAATATTGTCATTTGTGGTGCCCCGATTTCATTCCGGCAAACGGTACTTCTGAGATGATTTGTGTTGCTCGAAGGAAGTGAAGAGGAATGCACCGGAGATCAAAAGGTGCCCATTATTCCCAGGTTGGGTGGGTGCTATTCTAAAGCAAAAGTCAATAGGCCACCAAATCCAGAGGTGGTTGAAACACAACACTTAAAACTGGTAGAGAATACTAAGAAATTAGTATTATTGTCCAGTGTCTAGACAATACCGAATAATCAGTATTGTATTGACAATCCTAGAAATTAGTAATGCTGTCTAGACAATACTAAATCTTAGTGTTATTGTCCATTAGACAAGGACCATTGTTCACTTCATTGTAGACAGAGTGGATGTACTAAAGCACAGTGATTCCTCTAAAGGACATATGGTCTAATTCTTAATCAATAGAGACCTTCCCTATCGACAAGCAATATAAGGAAAGTATCCCTTGATTCATGAATAGGATGAATCCACAGTGTCTCTGGCATCGTTAAATCCTCCTTAGATTAAATACCTGAGGATGGGATGCCAAGTGTTCACAGAACGTGTAAACCTCAGGACGCAGGGTCGACAATAGTCGAATCCTTTAGTCGCACTGAAATGGAATTCTCACAACAACTTCCACGACTAAATTTACTTTATAACACCCTCCCCCCTGGATCCGGAGACCAGGCCGTGTAAAGGGGAGGGGGAGGGGGTTGAACTTGGTTCCTTCAAGCCCGTTTAGTTGCAATGTCCATATCTCCCATGTCCCGGAAACCTCCAAATCGATATCAGCGACCCTCCTGTCCGACATGTTGAACGGTCAAACTTCAATGCAGCGAGGGAGCGCCCTCCGGAGCTTCTTTCTCACCAAACAGCATTCGTTTGGTTCGGTAGCTGCCAGCGACTGCAAGTTTGGGAGGCGGCGAGCCAGATCAACAAGAAGGTCATGTGGGGTCACGCCGTGGATCATCAAGTCAATGAGACGGGGGCAGGCATCGAGAAGAACCAAGGCGAGCACAGCGTTCATCACGTAAGTGTCGCTGCCCAGAGTAAGGCGCTCCATGTGGAATCCGCGGAGCCGGATGAGCATCGCGATCTCGGCGTCAGGTTGATTCTTGAAGAGCCGGACATTGAAACCGACTCCGAGGAAGGTTCGGGGCTGGTAGTCCTTCAGGGCAATTTATGGTTGCGGCTGTGATATTGGTGCGAGTCAGATCGAGCTCTTGGATAGTGAGGCAACGGCCCAGGAGGTCCGTCACACCAGCATCTGTGACAATGCTGCCGCTCAGACCGACCTTGACAAGTTGCGGGCAGTTCGCAGAGTAGGCGGCGAGGGATCCGTCGTTGAAGCTGCAGGAGCCGTAAAGAAGCTTCAGATCGGGGAGAGCCTTGGCCACTGCCACGTTCCCGAACTGCCACGTTCCACGAAGCGAACGAATGCACCGCCAACCATTGGATCAGCCCGAGCCCCAGTGCACCGGCGAGGTGGTAGTCCTCCGGCAGCACGAGTGCGAGGGCCCGCAGCCTACCCAAAGCCTGCCCCATGGACTGCCTGAGCTGGCTGAACCAGAAATCATCATTCTCCGCGGGAGATCTACCGCGACATAAGCCCTTTCGAGTGCCAGCAGCTTCGGGCCGCGAGGAAGATTTGGGCGACGACGGGGAGAGGCCACGGGTTGCGGAGCTCATCGGGGCCAATGCATGTGTCGATGATAAAAGTGCGGAGGTTTTTGCAACACAAGGCGACGGAGCAGGCGAGGAAGCTATCATGAAGTTTTACGTCAATCGTCAACCTCCGAACTTGGTCTCCGCGCCTCGCGGCTGACGCGCCGCCTCCGACCCGGAGTGCTGCGGCTCGCTGGAACAAGCGCCTCTCAAGTCAGAAGGACGGGGTTCTCCCAGAGCGCTTGGAGAGCGCCAGAGCTCCAGGAGCGACACACGCGTGCGCTGGCGAGGAACGTCCGCTGGCGTTTCTTCCCATCGAGCGAGTGCAGAAACCGCAAAATACGCCACAGAATATCGAAGAAGAGGGTGGCCCCGAAGGTCGGACAATCGGCCGCGGCGACTTGACCTGACACACTGAAGATTCGGGAGGAAGAGCTGAGAGTGAGAAGGTGAAGCTGGAGTTGTGTATAGGCGAAAGAATCGTCGAATACTGAGAGTGACGGGGCATCAACAAGCCAAAAAAAACCTACACTGGGAGAGTATCGCTACCAAGGGCCGAAGATTCCGGCGTGGCGGATGGACCTAGCGTACTGGAAGGTGTGGCACGCCCAGTGAGGCGGCGACGTTGAGACTTCGGCGCGGAGGATGAACTTTGCATGCTGGAATGTTTGGCAGGCTGAGTGAGACGGTGATGCAGAGTTGGGCGCAGAAGGAATAAACTGCTTGGCCGGGAAGCATGTTGCGTACCGAGCAGCTCCTTCTCAACCATCGGTGATGTCCCATCGGCACGCAAACCTTACCCAGAGTACTTCTTGTGCGAGCTCTCGCTTGCCCCGAAAACCACCCCCCACGCGACGAGATTCGCCGGAAGCGCCAACCTTTCCGCCGAGCCCGATCGACCGTGATTTGACGATACGACGGCGCGGCTGCCGAACAGGTTGAGGTTCTCCACCGGGCCAGACATGCGTAAGCTTTCCTCACTGGCTCGGCCTCCTTGGCTCCGTCGATATCTTCCGCCGCGACATCTTCAAGTTACATCGCCAGATCTAGACGAGCATATTCAACGAGGTTACATTGACTTTTTGTTGAAGATGGTTTATAATACTAGTTTTTGATGACTCAGGACGTTTGTGAAGAAGGGAGAGTGTTTTTCTACCTCGGCGTTCGGTCGCACTTCTCTTGCCCGCCGGCTGCTCAGTTTAGCTGCCCAGCCCGCCCCCTCCCCACACCCCGCAATGCGGTGTCATCCCCCGCCCCCCTTTTTTTGGCTCTGGGATAACCTTGGGAGCGGTTTCCGCATCACATCATTTCCTCCTCCCAATATTCCTTTCTTTCTCGGTGACTTTAAATAACATCTGGAGCGAACAGAGCCCCTCGGGTGCTCCGACACCTAAGCTCAAAGCGCTATGTGGGGGCCACCAAAGCAGTTATTACAATTGAGGGAGAGAAGAGAGTGAGAGACTGAGAGTCGAAGGGATGTCGGCGAACGGGCAATAGGCGGTGGCGGCCCTACAACACATGATATGATTTGACGAGAGATGAGAGTGAGATTTGGAAGGATCGGAGAAGGGCTGACGGGGCTCTGACCAGAGACAGATGAGATAGGCATAGGGAGAGGATTTGCGAACTCTACAAACGAGACACGACCAGTTCCGACATCCGCTGTCGCAATCCTGAAGATGCCCACTCTGTTTGAAAGGTCACACCGACGCCACGCCAACTCAGCGCAGGCTTGATCCAGTAAAAGACCTAGGACGACAAAGCTTCTATTCACCGGCGCGTCACTTCGGGCTGGAGGAACACACCGCAGTGAAAGGAGGGATACAGCAAGGGGGGAGGCAGGCCGCAGTGTCCAGCATGTCTGGGCGAATTGCTGTCAGGCATAACCAGGCACGTTCCCATCGCGTCGAGCACCATCCGTCCCCCCCGGGCCAACGGCCGCTGGCATCTTCTCGAATGCCTGCTTCTCTCTCCCCCACAAGGCTTATAGGGATGGTCGACTTTGGAAATAGCAACCGCCGCGAGCCACTGATGCTAGTTGGAAAGAGCCTCCTCCGCCCCCCATCTGGAATTTTCAAATCTCTGAGAGCTGCGGATTGGCGAGACAGATCCTTGATAGGCGGTCCATCAGTCATCGCTGCCCCGACGACGCTTAATTCTGTCGGACATCGCTGCTCCGAGCCGCCCCCTCCCCCCTCTCTCCACTATATGGCGGCGTGCTAGACAGTCTGGGTTGCTCGCATGAACTCATGGACTCCACGTCCATCTTCCTCATGCTTCTTT